TTAACCTATCTCTCTCTAACAAGTTTGTTCATTTTGATAGTGCTTACACCTTATGGAAATATATTGAAGACATCAAGGGGACTTGGAGGCGATCCGACAAGCTTTGGAGGATCCGGCTTCAAGTTCATATGGAGCATCATGCACACGACTACTAGGCGATAGCCCTAGTAAGGCTTGCGAGTTCGAAACCACTAATGATTTATCTAGTGATGAACTTGCTTGTGCTAGTGAAAAATTATTGCATGCGTATAACAAATTGCATAAAGATTTTATTGATTTACAAAGCAAGCATGAAGATTTGAAATCCGATCATGAGTTGTTAGCATCTAAGTTTGAAACTATTTCTAATAAAAATGCGATCCTTAAAGAAAACATAATTTTGGAAAATGAAAAATTAACCACATCTATAACTAGCTTATCTCATGAAAAAGATAATGTCATGTTAGAAGTAGAGAACATAAAAAATGATACTGCTTCTTTTATAAATAATTATTTATGTTCTACTTCTAAAGTTAATGCTAATATGTCTAATGATGAGTTGAACAATGTTAAAAACCGTATTTCTTCTTTAGATTCAACTCTTAATACATGCATTAACAACTGTAAGAAGCTTGTGAATATGTGTGTCAAGACTAAGTCAAAATCATCCACTCATTATGCACACATGTATAGCAAAACTTATAAGTGTTCTATTTGCGACCGTCAAGGTCATTTAGCTAAGTTCTGTTATGATGCACACAAACATAAGAATTCTAATGCTCCTTGTGCATCTCATGTAGCTTCTTCATCTTGTACACTTACACATTCACATGCTTATTCTGACAAAGTTCATCATAAGCATGCTAGTGTGTATAGATGTGATAATTGTGGTCGTTTTGGTCATTTGGCCGAATATTGTTTTGATTTAAAAAAGAATTCAAGTTTGCCAAATGTTTCTAGTAGACCACATATTTTAAAATGTGATGTTTGTGGTAGATTTAGCCATTTGGCGAAGTTTTCTTATGATTTGAAAAAATATTCAAACTTGCAAATTTCTCAAGTAAACCACCTTTGTTTAAAGATATTTCTCATTAATTTAAAAGAAAAATCTTTATTTATAAATGATTCTCGTGCACGCCCACTTGGTCAACACAAATCATTTAAACCTCTTCATTGCACCTAGTGCAATCGAAAAGGTCATGTGTATAATTTTTGTTTTGATTGTGCTAGTGCACCATATGTGCCCAAACGGGTTCATAACCCTAGGGCTTTGAGCTTAAATGATAGGGGTCATGTCCCTAACCAATCCGACACCAAGAATACTTGGGTGCCAAAATAGTTTTTCTTAAACCAAGAATTTTAGTGTTTTTATTTTTCTTTTTTCTTTTCTTGGTTTTGAAAATTATGTTTTAAGATCTTTTGGTTATGAAAACAATTTTTCTTTTATCAAATCTTTTGTTTTCATGATTATTAGTTTTGATTTTGATGAGAGGTTTGTATTTATATAACCCTCCGGGTTTATTGGGTGTTTATTCCCAAATCATGTTTACCGGATGCTTAAATATTTATAAGGGTTGTTACTAGCTCAAGAGCTAGATATAGTTGCCTCTCTTGATTTTTGAAAATCAATGATGATTTAGCTTTATACTTTTAAAGATGATTTTGTCCATAGTTCATGATTCTTGTATGTTTTGAAATATTATTTTTGAACTATGAAAATTTTGTTTTGATTTGTACTTTTGAATTCATTGTATAGCACAAATAGATGATTCAAATTTCATATATTCCTTATAATATATTCTGTGAGTGCTTTGATCAAGTTCTATAAAGAAAGTTCTATTTATTGGTCAAACATTGTTTTTGAATATAAACTTTGATTTATGATTTCTTTTGGTTGATTCGTTTTCATTTGAAAACTTTTTGCATGATTCTTATGTACCTCTTCTTTTGTTTTCATAAATCTATTCTTTCATATGGCTTTTATATTTTTTGTGTTAATGAGACATTATTTTTATTTTGACATATTTATATGTGTTCTCATTGTCTTTTTGTATGTGAGTTGTGTTTAGCATGTTTCTTGCTTGCTCACATATGTATTCCTTAGCATTCATTGCATATATTCATTAAGGCATTTTGATAGGTGGAGTCTTCCCTTTTCTATTATTGTTTTTTTACTCACCCATGCATATTGATAGGGGGAGCTTTCGCTCTATTCATTCTTTTGTTTTTTCCTTTTTGATGTTATCAAAGGGAGAGAAATATTGTGAGTATATTCTTTCTTATTTATATGCATGATATATTATACTTTGTATGTTCATTTTCTTTCATGCATATATGCTTTTTGTAAATTGTTTGTCAACATCAAAAAGGAGGAGATTGTTGGCCATCTTGTTTTGATAATGATTTAACAAACAATTTACATCTAATGTTGTTTGTCTAGTGTTTGTGTTTTCGTATTTATTCTAGACAAACAATAAGTTGGAGGATGAATGGAATTGCGCATTTACGATCATATCCAATGGAGGTTGGCGGAATTGTGGAGTGAAGTCTTGCAATTTAAGTTAAAGATTCAAGTTCAAGCTTCATCCGCGAGTGTACCAAGATAGAGTTTATTGAAGATCAAGATCGAGCTTGGGTATAATTTAGTTTATGTTTTATATTATGTGTGTTAAGTACCTTAAGCTTAATCATATACACACATACACGTTTTGGTTTTATATATATATAGTTATATATATACATATATGTTTTGGTTTTCATGTTTTTAAATATGAGATTACATATTTCATATTTATTATTGTGTTTTAACTATATATAGCATTGAATGTGCATATTTGTGAAAATATTGTACTCTTAGTTTTTGGACTTAACAATAATCATATATATCTTTTATTAAGTCTACAAAATCATTTTGTATTGTTTTAAAACATGGTTAAGCTAAAATGTTAAAATTCATATGTTTACATTTTCATGTTTTGGACTATTTTGCAAAATGATGATATTTCTCATTTGGGAAGTCCTTTTTGAAAACCAGTTTTTGTAGCATGTGTATTATCATATCTACAACCATTTTCCAAAGTTTTATATTTTTCTGAATTTATTTCATATTTTTAAACAGAGTTTTAAATTCAGAAAATCAGATTTTTACATATGTCAGTTTGCGGTCGACCGCCACGGTCGACAACCCCTGAGGTCAAAAACTTAGTATGAGTTTAGTTGGCTCGCGATCGACCGTGGCGGTCGACCGTATGCAGTCCAGAGAGTTTCGCGGTCGATCGCCGTGGTCGACCGTCAGCTTTTCAAAAGCCCAGTTTTGCCTTTTAGTTGCTCACGGTCGACCGTGAGTTTCCCACGGTCGACCGCCGCTCTGTCTTGTCATTCCCAACGGCTATTTTTTGCAGGCGTTGTTTGGGGATTTTTGGTTTTTTGTTTGGGGTTTTTGGGTGAGGTTTTGGGAGGCTATAAATACCCCATTGATCTCAGTTCTCAAACCAACCAAGAAGTTTTTAAAACAAAAGTTTAATAAGGGTTTAAGCTTGGTTAGTTTGTTTTAAGTTTGGGGTTTTACAAAGAGGACCTTACATCAGTTGTTGAAGAGTTCATCTTCAATATTTCATCATCCTCTCTTTGTGTTTATAGAGAAGTTTTCTAACTCTTTTCTCTAGCAATTTTATTATTGATTTTCATATTCTTATTATTGCTAGTTTGCTATTTGAGTTAGATTTTATTTCACTCATTGTTTACACACACCCACTTGAGCTTATTGTATTTGCATACATAGTATATTTGGGTTGGTGAGTGTTCTAACGTAGAGAGTGAGCTTCATTGTGTTCTCATCCATATTTGAGAATAATCATTTGTTATTTTATGAGATTGTAAAGTTTTCGGTGAGCTAGAAAACCGAGTGTGAGGAGTGTAGACGTTGATCGGTGAACGTTGAAAACCGACATTGTGAGTGTTTGTGAACATTGATCGGTGAGCGTTGAAAACCGACATTGTGAGGTGTAAACTTTATTCGGGTGAGCATAGAAAACCCGGTTGTGATAGTGGATTTCTCCCCGGGAGTGGGTAACGGAGACGTAGGATGGAAGGTCCGAACTCCGTGATCATTTGAGTGTGTTTGAGTATGTCATTGGCGTATTTGCTTATGCATTTATCTTATATCGCCAATTGCCTTTACTCTTGTATATTTTACCCTATCACATTTGTAGTTTGATTATATCACCCTTGTGTTAGTTTATATATCATTGCATATATTTTTATCATATAGGATATATCTTATTGTTCATATTGCTTATCCTAGCTCATATATCTTGTTGTATTTCATACTTGCTAGGATAACTTGTTAATTAATTTTAATTAGCATAAAATCGGATTAGATTAGCATAAGACCCTAATCACCCCCCCTCTAGGGTCTAACAGTTCATGCTCTACCTCCGATCTTGAATAAATAAGAATATCATTAATAAACACTATCACAAATTAGTCCAAGTATGGTTGAAAAACCTGGCTCATAAGATCCATGAATACCGCGGGTGCTTTGGTCAGCCCAAATAGCATGATGAAAAACTCGAAGGATCCATAACATGTCAGAAAGGCGGTCTTGAGAATATCCATCTCTCTAAACCGCAATTGATAATATCCAGAATGAAGATTAATCTTCGAGAAGTGCTGTGCTCCCTGCAGCTAGTCAAACAAGTCATCAATCCTTGATAACGGATATCTGTTCCAGATAGTGACCTTGTTCAGCTCACGATAATCGATGCACAATCGCATACTACCGTCCTTTTTCTTTACAAAAAGGACTGGCGCTCCCTATGGAGAATGACTCTGTCAAAAAAACCCTAGGATCATAACACATCTAACTGAGTCTGTAGCTCCCTCATCTTAGCCGGTGCCATATGATAAGGTGCTCAGGAAATCGGTGTCGTACCGGACTACAACTCAATACAACACTCAACCTCTCTCACTGGAGGTAATCCTAGTATATCCTGAAAGACATCCGAATACTTGGAGACTACTCATGTCTCGCTCAAACCGGTACCTCTATCCCGTAACAACACCTCCTCGATATATGCCAGAAAAGACTCCACAAATCGGTTGCCCTGGGAGGTCACTATGATCAATTCCGACCCATCTGATGCCCACAAGCTGACTGTTTTAGCAAAACAGTCGATACTAACATGGTATGACGAAAGCCTGTCCATACCAAGAATGATGTCAAAATCCAACATCCGCAAAACGAACAAGTCTATAATAAATTCAGACTCATCTAAACTGATAACACATCTCCTGCAAACACTCTCTAATAGGGACACCTCCCCAAGAGGAGTAGAAACTGATAATGGCTCATCTAAGGGATGTGCAACTAATTGAAGTCTATTCATGAAAGTGTAAGATATAATAGAATGTGAGGCTCCTGAATCAAACAGGATTCGAGCTGGAACAGAATTCACAAGAAAGATACCTTCCACTATTGCTCCACTGGCACCATGATCATGTGGTACGATGGTATAAACCCTACCGGTGGCTGGAGTCTGATGTGCTACTGGTGATGAAACATATGGGTCCATCTGACCTTGAGGAACGCCCTGAATAACGTGAACCTGGCCTGTTGGTCCCTCAATCCTCGGGATGGCAGGTGATGCCTCAATCCTCTGGTGCTACTGGCCGTAACTACGACCCTGCTGCATGGTTCTGCCGCTGACCATGACCTTGACCCTACTGCTGACCTCTTCTAGGTGCACTATAGCATTCCGATGCCTTGTGTCCAACCCTCTGATAGTTATGACACGTCCCCTGAAATCAGCACTGCTACTACGCCCTCTGGTCCTGGCGTGGTCCTCTTTGACCCTGCTGCTGGTGCTGAAAACCTTTACCCCTCTATTAGGGTCCTCCAGATCCGGAGAAAGGTCTCTTACCCTTGCCCTTATCACTTAGCTATCCAAATTATGTACTTTTCTCTCTAGCCTTCTGGAACATCGCCGTTTCGGTCTCCTGAGAGATGGCTACATCCGCTACCTCTCTGACTGAACGAAATCTCCTAGATACTAGGTAGCGATAGAGACTAGGTTGAAGTCTAAGAAACATCTGTGCCAGGCACTTTCCTGACTGCTACATACCCGTAAAAAGAAGTAGGCTCATGAATCTGTTGTCATACTCTTCCATGGTCATATCCCCCTGCTCTAGCTTGGTCAACTCTAGCTCCTTCTCGGCTCGTGCCACGGAAGAGATATACTGCTCATCGAAGAAATATAGGAAATCCTCCCAAGTAAGAACCATCCTATGCTCTTGGGTGAACTGGAGTCGATACCATCCTCCGGCATCGCCTTTGAGACTGTAAGCTGCTAGCCTCTGCTTCTGCACTGAATCCACACCAAGTAAATCAAGGATATTACTTACATCCTCCTTCTATTTGTGGGCCACAAGTGAGTCTGATGATCCCTGAAATTCTGGTGGCCTCATCTTCTAGTATCTCTCTACTAGTCAAAGCCATACCTCCTGCTCGACAGCTCTACTTGTGACCACTGGTAGAGTGCATCCTAGGGTAACCACTGGGTACTCCTCAGCAATCGGAATAACTGGTATCATCGGGGGTGGCACAATAGGTGGGGTCTGATTCGCTATTTGCTTCTCAAGTGCTACGAGTCTGGCTACAATGGGTGACATAAAATCAACCAGGTACTTGGGAGACTACTGCGTCTCGGGTTGGCCTGTTGAGCCAGCTACTTCTCAAGTAGAACCTGCTGCTCCAATGGAGTCTGCTGCTCAATCAGAGCCTACTGCTCCTCAAGCGGAACCTGCTATGGCTTTGCTTCATCTTGCTCAATCCTTCGTGTACGTGATCCTCTTTGTCCATATCCACATCCGACCATCTATAATTTCATAAGATATAGTATCGAGACCTAGTATCAAACATAGTCTACCTAAATTATTTTCCCTGTATCTAATAGAATTTATACTTAGACATCTACAACACGAGATGTAGTACGTCGAGCAAAGTAATCCAAACAAGGAAACCCTCATGTATATACCATATGTCTTAAATAGTAGATAACTAAATATTAATTCCAAACTAGAACTGAAAAACAAGATATACAGGAAAGTAAAGCCTCATAAACGACGTCAGCATATGTATCTCATACACTCACATAAGATAATCTTTCGGTCAACAATTATCTCAACAACGAGTCATGTCTCATTTGGCGTCCGCTAAACACTCGGCTATCAAGTTATAAAAGTCATCACTTTTCTAAAATTCTCATCTAATAGTACAGTCATGCATGACACTAATAACCATTTCAAATTCTGCGTATAACTATGCAGAAACAAAGATATAGGTTCCTTTACCTCTGCGCACACTCGTACGGATACAAAAACCTAGGTACATCGACCTCTGCGTACACTCATGCGGATACAACAAACATAGGTACACTGACCTCTGCGCACACTTGTGCGGATACAACAACATAGATACATCGACCTCTGTGCACACTCATGTGGATACAACCATGTAGGTTCACAAACCTCTGTGCACACTTGAGTGCAGATAATATAATATAGATTTACTAACCTCTACCCACACTCTAGTGCGGATACCATAATATAGGTTTACTAACCTCTGCGCGCACTCTAGTACGGACACAATGTCGTAGGAAAAATGTATTTGAAATAATACTTAATTAAAATCCCTCACTATGAAGATATTGCATATATTACAACACTATTCACTTATGATTATGCCTATAACATGCAACTCAAGCCCGTAGTCATAATTTAAAACAAAACAAAACATAATATAGAAAATCAGCCTTAGTAGTCGACTACTAAGCTTAATAGTTGACTACACTGAGTCCACCAGACTCTGTTATACTCGACTCGGAAATTTGTAGTCGACTAATAAAATCATTGGTCGACTACTCTATATTGACTCAATCTCTGTTATGTCAATTCAGACTTTAGTAGTCGACTACTTCACTTAGTAGTCGACTACTAAGTCAAAACCTGTAGAGAAACATGCACCAACAGCACATTTGCAAACGTTGTGCGATTTCATACTTTAACACATTATAAAACTAATAAATAAGAAACAAAAAAACCATCTCCATGATTATTTAACCCTGATTTGACCAACTTAATTTAATCCTCTTATTTGTACTAATATTTGACATAAACCCTAATTATTGATTAGGTTAACATGAAACATGCTTGCATATTAGTCTAGAACTGATATAATTTCGTTTAATCATGATTTTAGAACAAAACATCCCAGATCCCGGGTCTAAATTATCTTGATCTATATGTAATCCCCTTTATATCACCATTTTAGGGTTTTAAGCATGATTAACGCATAGATGACAAGATATAAATGAAGATCTACACAACCTAGTGATCATAATCCTGTTTTTGTTAATACCAGCAAGTAAAACTCGTAGGTCTAACCTCAGATTCAGATTTCGCATCACAAGTCTACCTTTTATCATGTTAAACAGAAAATTTATGCATTAAAATAACCTTATTACTTCATGAACACATGATTAACACTATGGGTAGGGTTTGGATGAAGGAGATCTTGCCTCTATCACTGTGTTGATCTCCTGAACGTTGTACCAACTCCTCACTCTAGCTACGGCCCTCGATCTCATCTTCCGCTCAAAGTCACTTCTCAAAACACTCGAGGAAAACATAAATTCGGATCTAGGGTTTAAGGGGAAAGAGGCAGCTGAAAACTAATGTGAAAAACTCAGGAATTGTTTAAAACACGTTTATATAGTTGGGTTATCAACCGGGTTCAAACACAACGTAAATCCAACCCGAAAACTAAAACCTAGCACGTCAAGGAATCCGTGATAGTCGACTACTCTCCTTAGTAGTCGACTTCACTATAACTCACAGAAACTACATATTGCTTACAAGCTATTAGTAGTCGACTACAAAGGGTCTTAGTCGACTACTAAGGATCTGATTACACTGATTTATATTATTCCCTTATATGTATACATCGAATTGATCACTTGACATGCTTAAAAAGATAAATATGCTATTTATCACTGCATAACATATTCAATATCATTTATCACATAGTATTCAAATTTGTGTGGTTTTATATATACCAAGAAAGAATCTTTTGAAGCTTGAACTTGATTGGTTGACTTGATTTGCATAAGCTTTAATATCCATTTAGCTCGTTTTCCTGTGTATACTAATCAACACAAAACAAAATACTACAACCAATATTAGTTGTAAATTGTTTGTTAAATCATCATTAAAATAAGAAGGCCAACAATCTCCCCCTTTTTGATGATGACAAACAATTTACCAATATTCATAATAAAATCAATAAAACAATCAAAACAAATGCTATATACCAATCAAAACAAATACTATATACCTCATATTTTTCTCCCTCTTGGGAACATCAAAAATAGGGATAAACGATATGATAAAGAAGAGAGCGAAAGCTCCGCCTAACAAAAAACACAAGTGAGTATAAACAAAGATATGGGGAAGGCTCCCCCTATCAAAAAGCCATAAAGAAAATTTGCAATGATGAGCATGACAAATGAATGTGAGTAAGCATGGATATAGAATACCCTAAACACAACTCACATTAAAGAAGACCAAATGACCACATATATGTATTATTAAGAAAAGCGTCACAAGAGTCTAAAACATAGATATATATCCATAGGAAATATATCAAAAACAAACAAAACAACAAAAACAATAAAAAATAAAAAACAAAGGTTTAAAAAAAATCAAAGATCAATAATCAAATGATTTGTCAATAAACCCAAAAAGAAAATTCATAAGTTATCAAACTATAAATTATGATTGATTGAGAATATATATAAATACATTATTATGAGAATGATGTCTCAATACATAAAAACAAAGTATAAGTTCATGAAACCTTATGAAAACCAAAATCTTGTTCATGAAAAATCAAGAAAGACAATTTAAAAAATAATACCAAAAGAGAGTCCAAATGAAAGTTCATGAAAAACATAAAACATTGTTTTAATGAAGAAATGATCAAGAGAATATTTGAGTTCAAAAGACAAAAGCACTCAATCATTTCTTATAAACAATCTCTTGGCAAAAAGGTTAAAGACTTCCATTAAGAGATATTTTGTATCAATTTTAATATCGGAAACATCTTTATTATATGTACAACCATGCCAAAGATGATGTCAAACAAATTTGTGTTTTGTCCAAAAGGATCAAGGAAAATTATGCTTAGGATAAAACAAGTCATAACAAGAAAAAAACAAGAAAAACTTGTTTCAACCCATATGAATGCCCGGTAATCATAATTTGAAACAAAGAAGTAATACATCCCGGGGGTTGCTAAAACATGAATCTCTCATATATAAATTCAAAACAAGTTATATATCCAAAAAGTGTTCAATCAATGAGAACTTCTTTGTAAAACTTGATCAAACCACATAAGGAATACATTATAAACCTCAAATAGATGATTCGGAAGCTCAAACACATAAATATCATCATAAGAGTGTTTTATAATGATCCTATAAACACAAATACATTGTTCAAACTTAAAACAAGTTAT